ATGCAAGTGCTTCAGGATTGATTCTTTGAGGACCTGCTCCATGATTTTTCCAGGGACTGAAGTGAGGCTGACTGGCCTGTAGTTCCCAGGATCCTCCTTCTTCCCTTTTTTAAAGATTGGCACTACATTAGCCTTTTTCCAGTCATCCGGGACTTCCCCGGTTCGCCACGAGTTTTCAAAGATAATGGCCAATGGCTCTGCAATCACAGCCGCCAGTTCCTTCAGCACTCTCGGATGCAACTCGTCCGGCCCCATGGACTTGTGCACGTCCAGCTTTTCTAAAAAGTCCCTAACCACCTCTTTCTCCACAGAGGGCTGGCCATCTCTTCCCCATTTTGTGATGCCCAGCGTAGCAGTCTGGGAGCTGACCTTATTAGTGAAGACAGAGGCAAAAAAAGCATTGAGTACATTAGCTTTTTCCACATCCTCTGTCACTAGTTTGCCTCCCTCATTCAGTAAGGGGCCCACACATTCCTTGGCTTTCTTCTTGTTGCCAACATACCTGAAGAAACCCTTCTTGTTACTCTTGACATCTCTGGCTAGCTGCAGCTCCAGGTGCGATTTGGCCCTCCTGATAACATTCCTACATGCCCTAGCAATATTTTTATACTCTTCCCTGGTCATATGTCCAACCTTCCACTTCTTGTAAGCTTCTTTTTTATGTTTAAGATCCGCTAAGATTTCACCATTAAGCCAAGCTGGTCGCCTGCCATATTTACTATTCTTTCGACTCATCGGGATGGTTTGTCCCTGTAACCTCAACAGGGATTCCTTGAAATACAGCCAGCTCTCCTGGACTCCTAACAGCTTCATGACATCCTGGAGGCTAACAGCTTCATGACATCCCTTTGTACCTGGCTCTGCCCTTGACTAGCCAGTCATCTAGGTATGAGTAGATCTGGACACCCCGACATCTGAGGTAGGCAGCCACCACTGAAATGCTCTTGGTAAATACCTGCGGTGTTGTTGCTAGGCCAAACGGGAGGACTGCAAACTGACAGGGTTTGGGACCCACTGTAAACCAGAGGAAGCGTCTGTGTCCCTCGAAGATGGCAATGTGAAAGTATGCACTTTTCAGATTGAGGGTGGCATACCAGTCTTCCGGATCCAGGGAAGGGATGATGGAGGCCAGGGAAACCATGAGGAACTTCAGCTTTGCTAGGAAGCGGTTCAGGTCTCGTAGGTCCAGAATAGGTTGTAGACCGCCCTTGACCTTTGGGATTAAAAAGTACCAGGAACAGAACCCCTTGTTCTTGAACTCTGGAGGAATGACCTCCACCACACCTACCTGCAGTAATCCCTCTACCTCCTGCATGAGGAGACCCTCATGAGAAGGGTCCCTGAAGAGGGACAGGGAGGGGGGTTGGAAAGAGAGGTAGAAAGTAACTGAAGGGTGTAACTCCACGCCATCGTACTGAGGACCCATCTTTCCGACGTTATAGATGCCCACGCAGGGAGGAAAGGAGAAAGGCAGTTGGTAAAAATAAGGGAGGGAGGATCCTGGGAACAGTCTGGTATGTTGCCCTCGGGTGCACCCTGAAAATGAGCACTTGCCCGCTTACTTATTGTGGGTCGAGTTCGACCGAGAGGCCTGCGAAGGCTGTTGGCTAGGACACTGCTGGTAGCCTCTGGATTTCTTATGAGGAGGCTCCCAGAGAGGGTGGCTCCCCTGACCCTGAGGCTCCTGCGGCTTAAACCACTTGCGGGCAGGGCCGGGAACATACACGCCCAGCGTTTTAAGGGTCATGCGGGAGTCTGTTTGGCCACGGAGCTTACTGTCAGTCTGTTCCACAAAAAGGGCTTGCCCATCAAAGGGAAGGTCTTGCATCGACTGCTGAGCCGCCGTGGACAAGCCAGAGAGGGGCAGCCAGGATGCCTGGTGCATGGTGACGGCTGAGGCCATGGTTCAGCCAGCAGTGTCCACCGCATCCGATGACGCCTGAAGCCTGTCCCGAGGCAAAGTCCCGTTGGGGACCTACAGAGTCTCTAACTATACTTACGGGATTTATAAACACTAATCAAAAGCTATACATAGTATAATACAGGACATAACTAGTTTGTGCAAACGACCATCTACAGCACTAGCTGAAGCAGCAACAGTTCCAGCACCGTCACTGGTGGCAAGAAGGAACTGAAGGTGCGGAGAGCCGATAGCACCCTATATACCGCGGCATGTGCACGCCACTCCAGGGGGCGCCGGAGCCAGTCCCCTACGGATACTGCTGAGGGAAAAAATTCCAGCACCAATACATGGGACAACCGCACATACCTAAATTGAATGGACATGAGCAATGATACACATTGTAAGGAGAGTGATCACTTTAGATAAGCTATTACCAGCAGGAGAGTGGGGTGGGAGGAGGTATTGTTTCATGGTCTCTGTGTATATAATGTCTTCTGCAGTTTCCACAGTATGCATCCGATGAAGTGAGCTGTAGCTCACGAAAGCTTATGCTCAAATAAATTGGTTAGTCTCTAAGGTGCCACAAGTCCTCCTTTTCTTTTTGCGAATACAGACTAACACAGCTCTTACTCTGAAACCACTCATAAGTATATGCATATTACACAGATATAGATCTCTCTCTATATATATCCACTCTGTATTTAAAGAATAAGTCATATAAATTTGAAAAGAATACACCGTACTCTTCATATATAACGAAATGGTTAAATTGCTACTTTAAGTATAAAATTCAATTTAACCCTTGGAACCATGGTCAGTACCTCCATATATAAATGACATATATACATACTCAATGTGACTGAATATACCCCTACACACTTGTAATAATCTTTGCACAAAAAATGCCTTGTAAAGCATCATTTGAAAACTCAATTTGCTGGTCAGTATTGTCTGATAAAGTATGTGTGGCATGATCGTACCCTAGTACGTCACATTCATGTAATATGTCATGATTCCATGTGACCAGAGAGATGAGATCAACTTGCCAAGCTGGCCTACTTTAAATTTGTTTCTTCATGCAGTCCTTAATTTTAGGATTCCTCCAATTGTTCTTTTCAAATCAATGGTTTCAGCACTAAAAACTGTTTTATTTTCAAACATTTAACTTATGCTTCCTGATGCCAATGCATATATAAATATATGGAGTAGGATTGAGGGGAAAGAGAGGTTGTTTTTGGTGTCAAATTCTCAATGTTGCAAACACGGATTGCTCTACAATAAGAAGTCTCAGAAATTCTGAAACTAAGACTGGAATCACTTTTAAATAGTCAGACTTTTTAAGCCTAATTAACTTGATACAGGTGAATCATTTAACGTTATCTGAAAGTGCTCTTTTCTCTGAAGCATCAAAATAAACATTTTGCATTATTTAAAGCACAAATATATGCACTGATTATCTTAGGTGACTTTTATGGCTTTTCACAGAATCCCAAATTAGGAGCGTCAAGCGTTGTATCCTTGAACTCCATAATGAAGAGTGATATACCTTTTCCTCCCCATTAACTGAAGTTTTCAGTGGGAGAGCTCTTCCAATTCTTCCTCCCATGGAAGGAACTTTTGCATAATTAAAATATGAATTTTAATTTTTTAACACTTTTTAACACACAACATAAACCCTATAAATCACACTAAAGTGAATCAAGTAAAAATACTACAAAGAAACAGAAAACTCAAAACAGATTAACAACATATCACATATGAGGATTTTGTTTATTTTCAATCCAACTCATTCTTAAAATTTCACATTTTTCCTTTAGTTATGTAGAAGTCACTTTGTCTGAAAACTTTGTTCCTTGTTCCAAGTTCTCTGCCACTCAGGAAGATGACATTGCATCAGTTCTTGTTTACACTTTAAAATGTTTCCTGCACAACCATATTAACAAGATTTTTTTAAAATGAAAGCATAGCTTCAGGGGCATAATTCTGCAGAGAGAGTTGGATTCCACAGCCTGTTCCGTGGCCATGAAATCCTGGAACAAATGAGACCCCAGTAATAAAACTAAAATGTTTATTATCATTGTTTTAACATTTGGTTAGCGTTGTGAAAGAATGTATAGTAAAATAAGGTTAACGTAACCTATAAGGGAATTTCACTTAAATAATTCTATGATGGCAATTTGTTTTTTCAGGGATTGCAACGGGGTCCACTCATCACTCTGGTGCCTCCTCAGCCTGTCTTGGGAATTAGCTCTGCTGTTGAGTGTGCCCCCTTTATGTGGTGCATTGCCGCCGTGATTCCTGCTCTTGGACCAACGTCTCTCCAAGGACCATGGTGTCCTCTTCAGTGACACAGCCCTCCGGCCGTGCCACACACTGTGATCCCCCATTCCAGAGGACCTGCAGTATACTGTTCAGCCACTTCCTGCCAGTGGCAAACTGCAGTCCATGGTCTAGCCACTTCCCGCGTGGCTCCGGCACCCCCCTTACCCTTGTATCAGGACCTCAGTCTGCAACCCCCCAGCAGTCAGCCAGGAGTTGTCTCTGGCTTCCTCGGCCCGCTTCCTCGGCAGTTCTCTTGGCCCTTCAGGGACATAGTCCTTCCTCCCTGGGCTCCTAGCAGAGAACTGCCCTACTCTGCCTTGTAGCTTCCTTTTTATATGGGCCTACTTAGCCCTGATTGGCTGCCACCAGCACAGCCTCCCTAGGGCTGCTTTTAACCCCTTTTCTGCCAGTGAGGGGCAGCCGCCCCATCACAGGGATATTTTTTCAAGTGGATAACATAAAAATACCTAGAAAAATATGCAAGACTTTCAATCAGTTAAGGAATTAGAACATAAGAATGGTCATACTGGGTCAGACCAATGGTCCATCTAGCCCAGTATCCTGTCTGCCAACAGAGGCCAATGCCAGGTGCTTCAGAGGGAATGAACGGAACAGGTAATCATCAAGTGATCCATCCCTTGTCACCCATTCCTAGTGTCTGGCAAAAAGAGGCTAGGAACATTTCAATTAAAATGAATGAAACAATTAAAGAAGAATATTATGGATTCATACCCAGATAGTGCAATTAGATTACGTTTTTGAGACTAACATTTACCTGTACATCCCTTCCAGGATTTGAAGTGTTCTACTACAACCTCTTCTAATTTCTTTAATTTTGGATGACTGTAGATGATTTTATTTTTATTTGCAGGTCCTGTAAACCAAATAAAGTCATTTTAAAAAATATACCTGTGTGTCTTTTTTGGAATAAGTATATAAGAGGTTCTGTGAACTTTGTTTTCTTAGTCTACTTCTCTCTTCCAAGTCTGAGAAGCACCAATTCCCAACATTTCCAATCTAATTACAATAACTATCTAGCACATGAACTTCAGTGAACTCATTACTGAAGCGCATGTTTGTTAAACCCAGTTTTTCAAGACCAGAACATTACTTTTGTTGTGGCCAAATTAAAAAAGTATTGCACAAGGCTAGTTAAGAGATTATAATAATAATTTATAGTTAAATTCTAACTGAACTTCAAGGCTTCAGATCTACAAAACTGTGATTTGAAGACAGATGGAACTGTTTAAATAGAACACATAAAAGCTGCAATGTAACTACCATCCAGTTTTGTGCACTAGGAAAGAGAGGCACCACACTGAATATCAGACTTATTTTGCATCACGAATAATCAGCAGTTAGGCTTTATGTTGAATAGACCTTCTGCCAGATTTAAATTTTGAGGGGAAAAAGTGCTCTTCTAGAAAAAATTCAGGAAGCAAATATGCTGACTTCAAAGGTAAACACTGACCTGTTCTATTGTTGTAAAGAAAATTTCCATTTGCTGAAGTCACAGATGTGTCTGAAAACATGTTTTCAAGTTGCCGATACAATTTTATGAAGTCCTCATTCCGGCTAAGTTCATTCCTGGCACGAGTCAAGCCTTTATAAAAAGATAAGATGGTTTAATATTCAAACTCTTGAGTAATCTTAAAAAATTTGGTGTTTTGCTACATATAAATTGAATTTAATTCAGAATCAATTCCACATTTCCTTAACTGAAACTGAAATAGAATTTTCTGAAGCAGCTAAGGTTATAATGGAAAGGCTTATGTAATTGGGAGTAAGTATTATTTCAGGGGGTGTTAGCGTGTAAATATGAGGATTAAATGCACATAACGGAAGTCTACATCCTGTTGAGGAAAATTAAAAATGATTATTAAAGAACTCTTAAGCTTGTCCTTTTCACCAACAGAAGTTAGTCCAACAAAAGACATTACCTCACTCACCTTGTCTCTTTAATATTATCCAGTTTAAATTAGGAAACTGGCCAGCTGTTGAAGATGCTTTCTGCACTCAAGGGGACCCATAGCTGAAAACAGTTGAGCTACTAGTGTAAGCAGGACAGTGTTACATGTCTTCTTGAACGTTTCTGTAACAGTGCAGAAAAAAGGTTTGCCCTGGTTACCCTAACAGCTGAACTATTGCCAGCACTGGTTCAAGGGAACCCACTGTAACGGAGAATGTTGTCAGTAATCAACTTCCCATTGTAGAAAGGGCTTAAGGAAGCAGTGAAACGGAAGAAATGGGAAAAATAATAAATGCATACTCCAGTGCATGCATCTACTAATACAACAGTAATAGTCTGTTGTATTAGTAGATAGTAATAAAATGTCAAAGTAAGCATGTATGAAAGCAGGAATTGTAAAAATACCAACACATGAATGTCACAAGACACTAGCATATACATTACTATTTGCTAAAGATTTCTATGATCTGAGGCATTCTGTAAGATTGTTTTTTTTTTTACATTGGTATCAAATCATCCAGAAGTGCTAATGGTATCATGAATACAAGGTCTCATCAGAGAGCTTCTGTCGGCTTAATAACGCCACACGTCTGCAAGAAGCAGTAGCTATATCAGTGGGAGAAGCTCTCCTGCCAACACACAGCTGTCTACACAGGGAGTTAAGATCGGTATAACTACACTGCTCACACCCTGGACTGATGTAGTTCTTCCGAAGCAAGTGTGTACTGTAGACGTGGCCAGATTCATATTAGTTTCTTTCTAAATTAATAAGGATATGTGTATATTGCATTGGAAATCCAGGGTCAGACTCAAGTGTGAGCCCAACCCCGCCCTACCAGCCACACACAAATCTTTCTGACTTGGGTCAGCAAGCACTCAGGACCTGGCTCCTTGGATTCATCTGGGGAGCGTGTAGAGAAGTCCAAGCCCTAGTCCCACTGTGAGTTGGGTCTAAGCCCCATCATTTTGCAGTGTGGATGCAGTTCAAGCCACAAACTCAAGTCAAAAGGTCTGCATAGTGCAGTATGGATACGCTAGCATGGTTGAGAGACCCGGGTCCCACAACTGTAGACCCAGGTTTACAATGCAGTGTGGATGCTCAAGCATACCAAGGCCACAAGCACAGGTCCCACAGACCAGGGTTTACAACACATTGTAGACACATCCTAAGTGGTTAAAATATATTGTGTATCTTATTCTATACATCTGTTTGTACCCTGAACCCTTTCTAGATATGTGGTTCTCAGCCTTTTCCATACCATGGCCCCATGTTACAAAAGAAAGTGTATGGACCAACATTCCTTTCCATCTAGCCACAAAGAAAGGGTGGGTGGTAGTGACCCCATGTCATAAATATAAAGGGAAGGGTAAACCCCTTTGAAATCCCTCCTGGCCAGGGGAAAGCTCCTCTCACCTGTAAAGGGTTAAGAAGCTAAAGGTAACCTCGCTGGCACCTGACCAAAATGACCAATGAGGAGACAAGATACTTTCAAAAGCTGGGAGGAGAGAGAGAAACAAAGGGTCTGTGTGTCTGTCTATATTCTGTCTTTGTCGGGGATAGACCAGGAATGGAGTCTTAGAACTTTTAGTAAGTAATCTAGCTAGGTACGTGTTAGATTATGATTTCTTTAAATGGCTGAGAAAAGAACTGTGCTGAATAGAATAACTATTTCTGTCTGTGTATCTTTTTTGTAACTTAAGGTTTTGCCTAGAGGGGTTCTCTATGTTTTGAATCTAATTACCCTGTAAGGTATCTACCATCCTGATTTTACAGGGGGGATTTCTTTATTTCTATTTACTTCTATTTTTATTAAAAGTCTTCTTGTAAGAAAACTGAATGCTTTTTCATTGTTCTCAGATCCAAGGGTTTGGGTCTGTAGTCACCTAGGCAAATTGGTGAGGCTTTTTACCAAACCTTGTCCAGGAAGTGGGGTGCAAGGTTTTGGGAAGTATTTTGGGGAAAGACGCGTCCAAACAGCTCTTCCCCAGTAACCAGTATTAGTCTGGTGATGGTAGCGGCCAATCCAAGGACAAAGGGTGGAATATTTTGTACCTTGGGGAAGTTTTGACCTAAGCTGGTAAAGATAAGCTTAGGAAGTTTTTCATGCAGGTCCCCACATCTGTACCCTAGAGTTCAGAGTGAGGAAGGAACCTTGACACCCCAGGTTGAGAAAGAGGTTACTCGCCAGTAACTGTTATTGCTTGAATGTGACATCCCTGCACACTCACACTTCTGCGGCTGGCATCTCTTGGCGGAGAGCTGCCCAACCATCTTGAGAGCCATTTTGCCCCTTGAGGAGAATTCCAAAGACTCCAACCACTCCTCAGTTCCTTGCCTAATTTTGGAATTATTAAACTGAGACTCAAAAGAAGTGGGGGCAAGTTGATGATGAGTAGGAATATGCAGAGGCAACATGCCTGATGAACAGTTACTGGTAAATCTCTTTTCCAGTGGCTCTGCATTCTCCCATTTGTGGGAGATTAGTGAGCAGTACCTCTCAGAAGATGGGATGAGCAATTCCAGGTGAACAAGGACTTAAAAATGAGCATCACCTTTGGATGACAGATCAAGAGAGTATTAGAAGTGCCTACAATCTTGCTCTCCCAGATCTGACCCAGTGAAGGACAACAATTTTTTTGCGTTAAGACCATACAGTTTTTCAAGTAATGGCTTTGCAATTTCTATAAAAAAACTAGTAAGGAAGCCTGTAATATGGGTGCTGTGTTCAGATTAGTTAATACCTTTTGATATATCCAGATAACTGAACACGGACAAGTCATAACAAGGGCATAAATGAGACCTGGGAAAATACAGACAGGTTAGTGACTTGTCCAAGATGGAAACAGATGGCTGGAGACTGAAAATGGGCATGAGGACACTGACCAAATCACATTTCTCATATGCTCTACAGTTTAGAGAGCATTTGCCATCTGGCCTGTATCTAACTAAGTCTGTGGGCTGAAAGGCTATGAGGAATGACTTCTTCACAGATGTCTGCTGTATGGTACAGATGATACTCTGACAAACCAGAGGTCCCAAGAGCTTTGTGAAACAAGACTCCAATCCCAAAAGCAAAAGAAAAGATACATGAAGCAGAGGAAATATCCCATGACAGCTACATCCACCTCATGATGACAAAGATCCAATGAATTGGGAAGACGTATCATATTCAAAGGCAAACCCTGGTTAGGATTACTAACAACATCTTGGCTCCGCACCAGCTGATCACAGAATCACAGAATATCAGGGTTGGAAGGGACCTCAGGAGGTCATCTAGTCCAACCCCCTGCTCAAAGCAGGACCGATCCCCGACTAAATCACAGACAGATCTCGTGAAACAATAGGATCAAAGAGAATACACAGAGGAATTTCTGATTCCAGCCCAAGACAAGGGGCTTCTATCAAGGACATTAGGTCTTGTTTGACCATGTATCAGAACTGGAGACAATGAGCGGTCTCCTTGCCTAGTCAGGACTACTCTCCTTGTACTACACAATACCCGAACAAGACCTAAGACAGACATCTGTGTCATTGCATGTAAACTCTCTTCAAAGTATTTGCCTGGACATAGCTCTCCACCCTACACCACATGAGTATGTGGTATTGGCCAAAGAGAGACAGCCTTCCAAGCTAAACAAAACAGCTCTCAACTCCAGAACACTGGCATGAAGCTTTCATCTGGGACGAGATCCACAAACATTGAAAAGGTGGGGGTGAGGTGGCAAGATAAATATCCCAGTCCACATCTGGAAATATTCCTTTAGAGATGGTAAGGGAGGTGAGAAGGGAATTCCCTTATATATGCGTTTCCTTCACCTTTTCCATCTTGAATGATCTGAGATTTAAGTGGCTCAGTTGTAAGTAGGGTCAAGAAGAGGTAGAATCTTTGTAAATCAGTGTTGTGAAGACCACCGATATAGCCTGGGTGTGGTATCACCCAGTTACACTGTTAAGGAGCCTGTCTGTGGGCCAAGGTCCAGATGCGGAAATGAATGAAAAAATGCCCTGACACCTGGAAACTTGAACATTTCTACTGATTTCATCTGGAGGACTCCCACAAAAGGAAATTCTAGACCCTCAGTAAGCTATCTCTGCAGGAACTGAAAGTAAACCATCTGTAACCATCACCTTTGTGTAGTGTTTATCTGAGATTAAGTTTCTGATACTGGAAAGACTCCAGGACAGGAGATCTAGGTATAAGGGTGCCAACATAGTATACCCCAAAGGATCAGGGGACTATTGTGCTCCCTATAAAAGCAGAGTTAACCATGCCAGGTTCCCAACACCAGACTCAGACTATCCAGTTAGGTCTGGGGACACATCCTCTGAGCAACTTATGCTAGACAGAGGCCCACTGCATGTGAATATGCTGTACTGCACTTCGACTAGTACATCACCAAAGCTGACACTGGATGAGGAAAGCATCAAGGATCCTGTGTGCAATAACTGCACCTTTGGCAGTAAAGAAGGAATTAGCAGCAGTTGGGACCATTCCCATTTTATACTCTCAGAACCCATCACCATATATATATATATATATATATATACATACACACACATATATACACACACACACACGCATTAGGAAGGGGCAAGTGGCCCCAGACGCTGCTCTCTAGAAGACTGCACAGCTTGATGCCAGGAGGTACTAATCCCACGAACAGGAATGTGCAGAGGCCAGTCAAAGAAGAATCCAAGTTTTATACAACAGTAAGATCTTTTCTACACCATCAAAAATGGAACACACTATACTCCACTGGTGATGGCGAGGGAGGAAGAGGTAGTGCAGACAGTGTTCAGGCACTTTACCGTCATGTACCTAACCCTGCAGAGCCAGGAGACATGATGGTAAAAACACCAGAGTGCTGCCCACGCTCTGTCTTCCATGGCTGCTATTACCAATAGAGCTGAATTGTTGGGGAATTACAGGTCCTTTTTTTTTTTTTTTTTTGGCCAGTGTAGACACTGCCTTAAAGACCTAATCCATTTCTGCACAGACCTTTTAATGGCTGGTTCTATCTCTACTCTGGTCTATTGCTGTATCGTGCTCTGAACTCTGATTGCATCTTCCTCATACTTCACTGATCTATCTCCATACACACATCATTGCTTTCCCAATCTAACTACACTATCTCATCTACAGATTATTTCAAGTCTTACATTGAGCATGATATTTTCATCAAAATGTAAGCTGCAAAAAGAAAATATACAAATTTTATTTGCAACTCATTTGTTAAACTATTTTTGTTCTAAATAATTTTAAATACTCATATATACCTGGTACTCAACGTAATATGTTTTTATTTCCTAGTAATTAATTGGAGGAGGAAATAAGGAGCAGAGATAGTTTGTTTGTGAATGCATTTTACCTTTTGATCCATCCATAATTCCACACAGGAAGATAAATAATGATCGTGTTCCCATCTGCAGGAGTAGTTCATAACCATGATACAAACTAATGCAAAGAGCAAAATCTCCTTCAATTACGCCCTGTTGTATCCCCTAATAAAACAATTATGACACATTGGATTAAATAAAAGAGGTCAATAAGCAACAGGGATCAAACTGCAATTTTTGATGCCAAAAATCAGTTTAACATTTGAAAAATGAAACTGCAAAAGAAAACAATACTGAATTGGTGGTTTGTTCCCCAAAAACCTCATGAACCAGGCTGGAAATGGTTTGGGAAAGTTTCTTAATAATTAATAAAAGTAACCTTTTTTCTCAAAGGAGTCATGGAAGAATTTTGATAAAGGAATCACTTGAGAATAATGGACATTGGCAAAAATATTTTCAAAATACACCAATGCTGTTTTGCTTGTCCTCTGGAATAAATTAACTATCTGCCTTACCAAGAGAATACCATTTTGTTGTACTGCTCTTTTTGTTGTACTGCTTGTTGTGTTTGGCAGGATGGGATTTCCTTTACACTTACCCAACCTAAGCATCTTGAGTTGATAAAGTTGTACTGGTTGTTATAAATTACATTCTCTGTTATGCTTAAGGCACTCATAGGACTTTTGGAAAACCATAAATGAACTGAGTTTCTCTGTATAGCTGTCACCTGGCTTACTGAATAAATGAAGGGAAGACTATTTGTGATTAGTAAAAACCCTGGGGCAATTTAAACAAGGAGGTGCATTAGCTGAATTTTCAGACCTCAGAGTAATCTTGGCAGTTATATTTTACACGTCTAGTTCCCTATATAGTTTCAGATGGATACAGTATTCTTCCCTCTTTTCCTAAATCAGGGGTTCTCAAACTGGGGTCAGGACCCCTCAGGGGGTCGTGAGGTTATTACAGCAGGGGTCGCGAGCTGTCAGCCTTCACCCAAACCCCACTTTTTCTCTGCATTTATAATGGTGTTAAACAAAGTGTTTTTAATGTATAAGGGTCACACTCAGAGGCTTGCTGTGTGAAAGGGGTCACCAGTACAAAAGTCTAAGAACCAAGGTCCTAAATGGTCCTGCAGTGGTGTTGAGAGTGGTTAAACAAGTTGGCACATTCCATCCCAGGGCTGCAAATCTGTGGTAATTTCTATTTATAGTTTGTCAAGCATTTTGAGATCCATTGGTATTTTATGTACTATGTAAATGTAGGAGTATTACTACTTTTTATTGAATACTGTAGAATATAAACTCATTTAGCCAATTACATTACTAAGTAACATTTACCGCATTGCGTGAAGAAGGGTTTTTCCGAAACTGATCTCTTGCTAGAATTATCTGGTACTTTGTAAGGCTGGGAATATCACGCTGTGCCAAAACTCGAATTTTAATCAGGCGGCCAGCAAATGTTTCCAAAACCTGCAGGTAAAACAAAAAGCACATATGTAATGCAAAGATAAGAAATGATTATGCTTTTTCAAAATTTTGTTTGTTTATCTATAATAAACAGTCAGCTTTAATAAACGGTTATCTGCCAAACAGAGATAAAATAAATAGAATTTAACTGACTCTCTTAGTTTGTAGGTTAAATGGTAATCTTGTAGAGACTATTCTGTGATTAAATTCACTTCAGGATAGCTTATAGTATAGCAGATGGATACTGCCCATGTTATTTCCCATTACAGTGTTCTCCACTGTCAAGGTAAGTTTCTTGTGTCTTCCAGGGTGTAAGTATTTTTTTTTTTAATTTAATTCTGTTCATACACATCATGCAAGCCTGTTTTCTACTTCAGTGGAACAAGGGAAATTACCTGCTCTAATTCATCTTAATACTGTTTTTCTCCTTTGTTCCTTTGCCAAAGGTGGTCAGGATTTTTTTCCATATACTTAGTTTTGCACGAGCACTAACTCTACAATTTTATTATTGGAGTAATCAGATTTTGCTCTAGACAAATGGCCTTTTCAATTTGTTGGTCCATTTGGGTAGCAGTATCGAAAGAGTCTTAGCACTCTGTAACACCATCACAAGTTTTCTCCAAAGACATCTTTGTTAATTTGACAAGAGACCATTAACTCTGAATTCATGTTAGCTGTATGCACTATCATAGAATCATAGAATATAAGGGTTGGAAGGGACCCCAGAAGGTCATCTAGTCCAACCCCCTGCTCGAAGCAGGACCAATTCCCAGTTAAATCATCCCAGCCAGGGCTTTGTCAAGCCTGACCTTAAAAACCTCTAAGGAAGGAGATTCTACCACCTCCCTAGGTAACGCATTCCAGTGTCTCACCACCCTCTTAGTGAAAAAGTTTTTCCTAATATCCAATCTAAACCTCCCCCACTGCAGCTTGAGACCATTACTCCTCGTTCTGTCATCTGATACCATTGAGAACAGTCTAGAGCCATCCTCTTTGGAACCCCCTTTCAGGTAGTTGAAAGCAGCTATCAAATCCCCCCTCATTCTTCTCTTCTGCAGGCTAAACAATCCCAGCTCCCTCAGCCTCTCCTCATAACTCATGTGTTCCAGACCCCTAATCATTTTGGTTGCCCTTCGCTGGACTCTCTCCAATTTATCCACATCCTTCTTGAAGTGTGGGGCCCAAAACTGGACACAGTACTCCAGATGAGGCCTCACCAATGTCGAATAGAGGGGAACGATCACGTCCCTCGATCTGCTGGCTATGCCCCTACTTATACATCCCAAAATGCCATTGGCCTTCTTGGCAACAAGGGCACACTGCTGACTCATATCCAGCTTCTCGTCCACTGTCACCCCTAGGTCCTTTTCCGCAGAACTGCTGCCTAGCCATTCGGTCCCTAGTCTGTAGCTGTGCATTGGGTTCTTCCGTCCTAAGTGCAGGACCCTGCACTTATCCTTATTGAACCTCATCAGATTTCTTTTGGCCCAATCCTCCAATTTGTCTAGGTCCTTCTGTATCCTATCCCTCCCCTCCAGCGTATCTACCACTCCTCCCAGTTTAGTATCATCCGCAAATTTGCTGAGAGTGCAATCCACACCATCCTCCAGATCATTTATGAAGATATTGAACAAAACCGGCCCCAGGACCGACCCTTGGGGCACTCCACTTGATACCGGCTGCCAACTAGACATGGAGCCATTGATAACTACCCGTTGAGCCCGACAATCTAGCCAGCTTTCTACCCACCTTGTAGTGCATTCATCCAGCCCATACTTCCTTAACTTGCTGACAAGAATACTGTGGGAGACCGTGTCAAAAGCTTTGCTAAAGTCAAGAAACAATACATCCACTGCTTTCCCTTCATCCACAGAACCAGTAATCTCATCATAGAAGGCGATTAGATTAGTCAGGCATGACCTTCCCTTGGTGAATCCATGCTGACTGTTCCTGATCACTTTCCTCTCATGCAAGTGCTTCAGGATTGATTCTTTGAGGACCTGCTCCATGATTTTTCCAGGGACTGAAGTGAGGCTGACTGGCCTGTAGTTCCCAGGATCCTCCTTCTTCCCTTTTTTAAAGATTGGCACTACATTAGCCTTTTTCCAGTCATCCGGGACTTCCCCGGTTCGCCACGAGTTTTCAAAGATAATGGCCAATGGCTCTGCAATCACAGCCGCCAGTTCCTTCAGCACTCTCGGATGCAACTCGTCCGGCCCCATGGACTTGTGCACGTCCAGCTTTTCTAAATAGTCCCTAACCACCTCTATCTCCACAGAGGGCTGTCCATCTCTTCCCCATTTTGTGATGCCCAGCGTAGCAGTCTGGGAGCTGACCTTAGTAATCACCACTAGTAATCAGACTGAGGTAGTGTCTGTACTAACTATATTTACACAATTTCCCAGAGGTTGTAGGAGGAGCTCAGTTGAATTGGTGTAAAAGCCAGTGAAAGCTGTAACATTCAGAAAACTCTGGACGCCCTACCTGTTTATAACCATTTTTGTTAAACATGTTGAAAAACGAGGCTAACTGCAGTAGTAAGTACAGGTCTGCTTGTTGGAATCTTGGGTACCAACAGCTCCCACCAGTTTAAACACTGGTTAAGGCTAAACCAGAGGGAAACAGTTTGGGAAAGTTTCCCCTGTGTCTAGAGTGAAATGTACTAACAGCAGAAAATCAATATCAGATAAATCACAGTTTTAGAAGTAGAACATGTTTATTCCAGAAGTCAACTATTCCAGTTTTACTTTGCATAAACCTATAATATTCCGATCTCTAACTATGGTAATTATCAAGTCTACAATTCATCTACATGTACCCACTACGATGACAACTGAACATAGTTCTTTTTGCTCACTTGCTTCAACTTATACTGCAAGTTGTATTGTTCTGGCTCCTTATTTTGCATTTGCTAGGTTAGACATACTAGGGCACTTGAAGGCAAGTCCTGGGGGAGGGGAGAGCGATAAACTGCCTCAGCTCATCTACAGAGATTTCTCCCCCCACAGAATCACCAATGGGAAAGGAAAGGGAGTGGGAGATGAGTGAGAGGAGCTTCAGTATGGGAACATATCTCCATCCCTGCATGTCACAGACCCGTTGAATGTGGAAAACCTAACTAAGGGATTATAAAGTCAGCAGACTAAGCAGCCCATTATGATGTGAGCAGTGGGCTGTTTATTGGAAAATGAGTCTGGGGCTCCAACTACTAACTTAATGCTCTGTTGGGTGGATCTGGGTCTGCTTCTCTTGCCTCCTTCCATGGCCTTGAATTGGGAGACAGAAATGATCCACTGCTAGGACCATGATAAAATGTTGAAGCTAATGTAGCAGGTTCACGCAACTTGTCAGTAGCAATTTCTACCTTGGGAGAACTGCCTTCATATCATTGTGTCACTTGCTCCCTCCTGGAAGGAAATGAAGCAAAGCAGGAAAGATCAAGGGGATTGGTTGCTGCTTCACTGTTGGGGCTTCCTGACTTTTTTCTGGCTCAGGAGAAGGCTACTAGGGTGACCCCCTTCCTGAGCTGGCCACAAAACGAGGAGAGCTTATTGTCTATGCACTGTCGGGCAATAAGTGTCAGAATATCAAGTTTTCCCTCTAGGCTTTTTTCTGCTTGATTGCTAGGCTACAGGGGCATATGCTGTTGTAGTACTTCAGGAAGAAAGGGAAGCCAGAATCCAATCTCTCTGTCCCAAAAGCCAGTGAAAAATACTTGCCCAGATTTCTGCATCAGAAATTAAAAACATTAAGGCTTATTTTAATTTAGAAAAAAAATCAGAACATCCTAAATCTCTTGCAGCAAGGAGTTCTTGTTCACTTTGCCTGTATCTGTGGAGGCAGAATAAAGGTGGCACACTCTTCAACAGAACAATTATACCCCGGGAGCCAATAAGTCAGTTCTTCCCCAAAGACCTATTGTAGAATCTGTAGGGACTTTATTGAGCTGAAGAAATACATATTCTATGGCATATAATCAATGTAACTTGTAAATGACAGTCACTAACCACTAAATTAACAACATGATGGGACTTGAGTGAGATCTGCATTTCACATTGGAATAAAATATCTAAATAACATGATTTGAACAGGTCAGGGGAGACATTTACTGGAATGGTGTGCCATAAAATACTATATACTAAGAGAAGCAATAACTTCCATAATGCAGTACTACTATTAGATCAAAGAAATACTTCAAGATGAGAACGTGAAAAACCTGAAGACAAAAGTGTAGTGTGCATTACACCCAAAGACCTGTATAGTGTAAATTAGTATTTGAATATAAGCTAACAAACATAAACAAGACTTCTAACTAAAAAATAGCATATACAAAATATAAAGGTAGACATTTTTCCTTTAAAGGGAGCCAACGCCTTTGCTAAATTTTGATAACATCATAGCTATGGTTTTATGTACAGGTTTTTTGTTTTTTTACACTATTATTTCTTGTAATTAGATACATCTTTTAAATTTTTCATTATGTATGTTTGTGTTTCATCTCCCTGACCTAATCTGCGGTATGGAAGAAAATGATATCCCCACTACATACACAGTGTACAAGCACTGACTATCTGATCTAATCATCTTCTACAAAACAAACCAAGAAAGACTATTATGAAAGACAGCAGGATTTAGTCACCTGGAGCTTCAAAACTGAAGTAGATAAGGACTGTAAACATAACCTACTTAGAAAAGTTACAGCAACATGCATCACTCAGATACAAGTGAATCATTACATTTAACTAATCTCCCAGTATTTGATTTAAATCAGCTATAATTAAAAAGCAGAGTAACTGCAAATCATTTTAATCTTTCCAGGACATTTTAGTTATACACAATAGTATAAAAATATTTTTTTAAATAGAACTGTAGAACAAATAAATTTTCTTTTAAATTTAAATATGAAATTCTCAATAGTGCCTGAGTATATTTATAACTCAATGAGATCAGTTAAAAAAACAGCTGAATATATTACCAACAGTATATACAAAGACATGCATGCA